TAATATTTAAAACTTAAGATATGTCATATTGAGCTAATACGAGTATGTCATGGCTGCGATCATCGTTCCGATATTCACTGCCAGTACTGAAAATATATAGTTCATGTAACATATATTATAAATTTTCAGTATTAACAGTAAATATCGGAACGCAGCTCATGTATATACATGTGTCAGGAAATAATCCCCCAGTGTATATACATATCTAAGCGAAAGATACACATATCATCATAACTGGCGGTGGTGATGATAATTACTTTTCATAATAGGCATTCTCTAAGAAAATTGTACAAAGTTACGTATATCATAATATAATAATATTTATCAATAATAATAATAATAATAGGCAATTATATAAAATGATATATATATAATCGCCAATAATAAAAAAAAAGAGGAAAAAAAGAACAGAAGAGATTGACATTTCAAATGACTGTACACGAAAATCTCCGCGAAAGGACTGTACTAAAAGACTATACTAAAAATACCGTCGCTAGAATACTCTCGTTACATGCGATTTTCTCCCATCTTTCTTTCATCGTCTATGACGACGGATGAAATCGCGAACATTGTATCCTGCATTATTCTCCTTTCGCATAACGTTTGATCGTTTTATAAAGCAGTGATATGATAGATATCACTCAATCGCAGTAGAAAGGTTTATTATTTTCTAATACGAATTGAGTATACAGTAACACTGTTTCTGATATGTTTTCTTTAAGAAAATGTACATCAAACGTACGTACTCTTCTCTCGAGTTTTTGTGTCAAGCAGCAAATTCGGTCACGCATTAATTTAAATAAGCATGAGTGAAAAATAAAATTTAGATGTTATAATTAACGAAATAAGCCAAATATATAAGCCAAATAAGTCAAATATATTCTACTATAAATAATACTAAATAACATGCTAATTTACATTAAACACAAATGTAACACATATATGGCATAAGTACACGTATATGTCTTAAAAGTGTACGACATATAAGACTTTGTCCATTTGTGTACAATTTCTATGTTTTTAATGTATTGGCGCATTCAACCGAATTGCTAGATCATATTTTTTTCTTTCTATCCTCCC